CTTATTTTTTGGTTTCTTTTCACCTCTGCCCCTCCAAACCTCAGACTGCCAACTTAATGAATGCTTTGAAGCCTCAGAGGGAATTAAGAAGAACAATATTTGACAGGAGTGAGGAAGCAACTAAATATAGTTCCCCAGTAAGAGAAATGTATTCCATAATCTTCTCTCTTCTTCCTTCCCCTATCTGAGCAATCACTCCATCATTTGATGTTATTTTTTGTGTTGTCCTTATTGTACAGTAAGTTTGGCTATTACTTGATTGGGACAGAAAAGAGAGAACACCACAAGATACAATTTTGTCCTTTTTGGAAAAGTCACAACACGAGATACTTGAGACCAATTTCCAAATGAAGATTGTGCGTATTCTCTGTAATTTCCATTTGCCTAATACTTTAGCATTCCTAAAAGGATCTCATCAAATTAATTCATTTAACCAATATAACCTGAGAGGCAAGTAGAGAAACTGTGTTGGGAGCTATCAGCTCACATTTTACCAGGGTAGAGGGGTTCAAGATCACTGTGAAGGGCAGCCAGCTCTTTGAATCTCGGACCCATGGCTTTTCTAACTCTACAAATACAGCGAGCCCTCCTGACCAATGTAAACATTCTGTCCAAAGTCCATGAAGAAGCTCTATCTAACCCCACCAGAGGCACTACACTGGTCTGTTTTTAAACGTTTTCAGCTACAAAGGATACTCCATTTTTAAACCTTTGCAAGTTCAAAACCTCAGCTGTTGTCCTAAATGTCTTTTGCTTACCCAGAAAACAGAAGAAAAACACGTGTCCAAAGTCCATGAAGAAGCTCTATCTTTCCCTTCTTTGTTAGGTATTCAGAACTTTCATTTATTTTTAGAAATATATGCTTTAGCACTATAAAAATTTTCCCCTCTCCACAACTGCTAACACAGACATTACATAGATCAGGACATACTCAAAGAAAGGTACAGCCTCTGGCTTTCCTGGGTATGGCTATTTTTGACAAGCTTTCCCCAGAAATGTCCAACCTATTTTTGATTGATAAATCAAGGGATGTTTCATTTTAAAGTTGAGCAATCAATGTACAACTTATTGGGAACAAAAGTGACCTTGCACAGATCTGAAATGTTAAATGTAGAACATGTCCTTTGACATAAAATAATCATTGATGCATTGAATGAATTAAATAAATAGCTTAGAAATTATTTTACCAATCCAAGAAAATACATTGGGGTACACTAATATCTCTTCCTAGGGAAAAGCTGGTATCATTTTTCTTTGGAAAATTAAAGGCACTTAATATTTGAGATTGTGATGACTCTAAAGATAGTTATCGTAAAGCAGCAAGTGTGATAGAATCTGTTATCAAAACTTTCTGCTGTTTATAAATTTTTAAAACGAATGGACTTAGTAAAAGATGTGTCATGAATTTGGGAAATATTAAGATCAAAAGCAATCATTTCCATAATTAAAATAACGTATTATATACACTTTAAAACAATTAATATGACAGTCATTCAATGTTCTAATACTCACCTTATTAGGTATTGCCATGTCAGAGTGGAAAAAATTAAAAAAATGCTAACATCTTACTAGGTGACTTCTTTTTTTGTTAGCTGTCACTGTCAGGCATTCCAACTGCTACTAATGATCATTTACCTAGGGCTGACCCTGAATTTGGCTCTGTGCCAAGTACAGTCAAACCTTCTTTCTTGAATGACTGTCATCTTGGATAATTTGGGTCTTGACCAAGTTGTTCACAGAAAAAATGTCTTGGTTGTCAAGCAAAACTTTGGTTCTTGATGCAACAAGAACCTGTATGCTGATACCTGTATGGTCAGTCATGCATCTCTTGGGTGAGAAAAAAAGAGAATGTGTGAGTATGAGTCATTTTACTGCTAAGTCTCACTTGTTAATATCTCAGGAAATTGTGCTGTGAATATTTTCGTGTTTTCTTGCTGCTTATTACTATTAAATTGTGTACAATACGTCACCTTGGATCCTAAGAAGGTTAGGGATAGCAGTAAAGTGAAAAGGAAAGTTGTGAGAACAATGATAGAGCTTAAAAAAGAAATAATACCAAAATATGATAGAGGTGTTCACATGTCTGATAGGGCTACCAAGAATGGCAAGCAAAATTGATGATTAGCACCATTTGAAAACGTAAAGAGGCCATCAAGAGTGATGATGTGGCTAAAGGTGTAAAAACGCTCATGCAACAACCATCAGCCAACTGAGAAAGGTTAAAACAGGGTATCATTTGGGGGTCTGGAGTAGATTAATTCAGTTTACATTATTTCTAATGGGGGGGGAAATGATTTGGTTTTCTAACATATCACTTTTCAAAGAGCCTTCAGGAACTTGAAGTTGATATAATCTATTTAATATTCAAATAAACATGTGAGACAGGTATCACTTCCAATATTATAGATAAGAAATAAAAACCTCATCCAAAAAACAAATTACAAAAAGCAACTTGTTCCACTCTGGCTGGGTAGGTCAGTTGGTTAGTGTCATCACAATACTCCAAGGTTGCAGTTTAGATTCCCCATCAAGGCACACACAAGAATCAGCCAATGAATGCATAAATAAGTGGAACAACAAATCGATGTTTCTCTCTGTCTCTCTCCCTCCCTTCCTCTCTGTCTCTAAAAAATTAATCAATTACCACAGGACTTGTATGCATGCATATAAGCATAGCCCATGGATACAAGACAGTAGGGGTGAGGGCATGTGTTGGGGGTGGGGGGGTGGTGGGAGAGGCTGGGGAGAGCCCAATGGGGGAAAAAAGGAGACATATGTAATACTTTAATAGAGAATTTAAATTTTAAAAATCAATCCATTAACCAATCAGTTTTAAAAAAGAAAACCAACTGGTTCCATTCACATTGCTAGAAAATGGTACAACCTAATGCCAAACCTCAGTTTCCCTGCTCCCCACATCACTGTGCTCCCTCCACGGCCCTTGCAGCAACCTTCCATTAACCAAAAGCAGCCGTGACACCAACAGTCTTTGAGAGTTTGCTGCTGGGGAAGGACCTTATGTCATTTGCTACAAATAAGGTATGTCCGTGAGTTAATAATATTTGCTTAAAAGGTATAAAAATGGGGTGTCTGGGAAGTTTTCTGTTCACTGAAATGGTTACATATAAATCATGGCCATTAATTCTAATTAAAAGGAGAAATCATTCCACTTTTATAATAAAATTAGAAACAATCAATGCAACAGGAGTTTTTAAAAATTATATTTAATACAAGTGAATAGATGAGAAGGTCTGAAATGTTATAAAGCAATGTACACAATGAATAAATAATCTGCACAGGAGAGTCATGTCTACATTACATAACACTGTCTAGAATGGGAATACTTAAAGTAAATCCAGTGGTAATGGAGAAAGTCCATAAAAATGCTAACCTGTCTTCCCTTGTATGAAATTGTTCAAGTATAAAAATCCAATACAGTGTAAAATAGTATTCAATTTAGCTTAAGAATAAAAATTGCAAGTATTGCAGTTTCAGAAGAAAAATGTAAAGCAGCATTTAAAAACTACATAAACTACATGAGAATAGTGTTAAACTAATGAAGTACCAATAAATGAGATCTACACTAGCAAAACTTAGAGAAGGAAGCATGAAACTAGCAATATAGCCTGTTGGTTAAAACCTAAAAACTAAAATGTGTTCATGTAAGAGTACTCTCTCATACAGTGCACATATGAATTTAAATAAATCCAAGTCAACATCTTTAGCTGAATAGGTTAATATTTAATATGCTACATCTAGACCTACTAAATAATTTATGCCATGAGATGAATACATAATTTTATAGTGTCACATCTAAAGTTCCTTCCTTTAGAGTGCAGCATAGTAAAACTTAAAAATAAATATCTTAAATAGCATTACTATTAAGGCACAGTATAAACCACATTATCATTAACCTCTGAAGAACTGTAATCTCAGTAACTTTGTTGTCTCATGTACTGTATTCACTAATAAATAGTTTTAAATAGGACTCTGAAATAGATACTAAAAAGTGTAAAATTATTCAAAAAGGGAAAAAAAATAAATGCCCTTAAGACAATTCTTAAGAGTTTAGAGTCTGCAAACTTTGCCTGCCTTTAATCGTAAGCCACGAGTCGACACAATAAATAGAAAGAGAAGGCTGTTGTAGTAAAAGCCTGATCCTATTTCAGAATCAGAATTGCTGACACCAGCAGATACAAGTTTCCCAAAATTGAAACAGGATGGGGAGAGGGAGTAGAATGTGACAAGCTCATCAAACAAGCACAAGTGATGTGTTCTTTCCAGAACTGTGCGTGTTACTGATTGTCTGTACAGCTGTTGCACCCATTAATTCCACATCACTTGTTCCACAGTCCCGCTCATCCACAGGATAGATGAGAAAACAGCTTTGGTGCCTGTCCACCATTTCACCCACTGCCACGCTCCTAGAGTGATTGTTCGATGCCCATTTTTGAGAGAGTAAGAACAGTACCTTCTTACTTGAAAAAGTTCTATAGGCCATAGCAACTTAAAAATGACAATCAGTGCTTTCACCATTTTGTTTTTCTAAAAAAAAAAAAATCTGCTTTTAAATGAAATTCAAGCTATGTATTGCTCACTCTGTATTCCCTGGTTCAACAAGATTCAAATAGCATCTTCTAACTTGTAAAAGGCAGTTTGCTTCCCTGATACTATAAAAAGAGCAAAAATAAAAATCCCATTATAAAAATGAAGTTCCATTTGTTACTTCTGCCATCACTTCCTAGTGGCCTTTCATTTCCTCAGGCTCTTTGGGATTGGTTTCCAAAACTGCGCCCACTCCCCCATCTCTCTCTCTCACCTCTTTCTCATCTAGAACACTACTGGAGTATAAAAATAACAATAGTTCTGCTTCACAAAGCATAGCTTTTTTTTTTTTTTTTTTTTTTTTAAAGCTGTTAATGTTAACTCTTATTAGCTACTAAAAATTGGGGAACTGGGAGGGAAAGAGAAAACAATTCAACTTTGATCAGATGGCTGGTCTATTGCATTCGGTCTGTTTGCAGCTGCTGAGGCTGATACTGGCCAAAGGCTGCTGCGGCGGCAGCTGCTGCAGCGGCGGCGGCAGCTGTCCCAGGTGCGGCGGCGGTGATTGGCTGCTGCACGGCGTAGCCGTAGCCCCCTGCGGTGACGTAGCCTGCAGCAGCTGGAGAGGCTGCGTAGGGGTACTGGTCATAGGCGGCGGCGGCGGCAGCGGCGGCAGCTGCGGCAGAGTATTGTGCATACGCAGCTCCAGTGTAATCAATGTAAGGTGTGGTGGAAGCGGCGGCTGCAGTCGGCTGGACGTGTGGAATGACCACTCCAGGCTGCACAAAGGCCTGTGGATACACGTAGTGGGCCGGTATCCTGTTGAGAAATGGAAAACAAAGTCAGGCAGTAGTTGCCTCCTCTCGGTAGCATTTCTTGCTCAGAAATACAACAAACTCAAATTTAGTGGTTATTATGAGCATAGGGTTGCCACAATATCTGCTTTCCAGGGGTCCGTCAAAGTCCTCTGGCGGTAGCCAAAGCCAGGGAGTGCCCCCAAAGGAATTCAACTATCAGAATATGATGGTACCCTCTGCTAATGTTTTTGTTTACAATCATTTAGATCCGATAAATATCATTTAGCAAAAGTTTGGAAAATAAATCAAGGTTCGTGAGGGCTGTGCACATAAGAAGCATTTAATCAATGCTTAATTGATTAAGACTTGAGAAAATTGTCATGAGTTCACAAACAAAACCGTTTGGCAAATAGAAAAATTCTGAGCTGTGAACACAGGGCTCCAAAGGTGATCCATGACCATTCAGTTCCAATGGGGGGCGGGGGTGATGGCTGGTTCGTCAAAATAAAAATTTCAACAAAATCTGTATGTTTATTATCATGGCAACCCTACTTCAAATTGCTATGCAGACTCAGCACACATTAATCTCTCTGCAACCTCAGTCACCCTTATTAAAAATAATAATAAAAAAGAAGCAGGCGACAAAATAAAAAAGGAGTTTAAAAGTTCACAAGTGTGGTAAACACAGCAGAATCACACTTCTCAAACGAACTGTAGTGCAGCTCACTATCACAAGAGGCTGTTGTGGGAAGCTACAGAAATGCTATTAACATTCATGGCAGTGATCTGAAAGAGAGGTGCAGCACGCTTTTTGTCGTTCTTTCTTTCTTTCTCTCCATAAAATTCATAAGGACACAAGGGTCAATCAAACCTGTTTGACTATCAGGCAACTGAAGGTCAGCCAGCTTGTTTATCTCTATGCAAGACAGACAGAAGGAATTTTGGGGAAATGATGAGGTTGAGGGAAAAGGCAGGGACAGGGAAATACAACTAAATATTTCCGAAATTAATAAAACTTAAAAGGTTTACACAATAGAGTAAGGAAACATTTTTTTTTGCACATGTACTAGCTTTTGTTTTATTCTCCAAATCAACAGAAATAGATTTGTTAGCATATCTGCCTATAAGTCAATATTTTATATGAATCAATTCTATTGTTATATATTATCCTGCAAAAATTCAAGAAAGTGAAATACAATCAAATACCTTTTAAAATTGTACATTGAGATCACATACATAGCACACTCCAATGAATTAACTTAAACATTCATTTTTTTAAAAAAAATTAAATCACAAGAGGTATTTCTAAAAACCCATGCATCTCCCTTCTCACTCTTGGGATTCATTACTGTCCATTTAAAATACTACCATGAACATCTGGTTTATTTCAGCTTTCTTTAAAATAATCTCCAACAAAACTCCTTATGCTTCTAAAAATATGTCACTATAATGCCATCTGGATGCTGGCAAAGTCAACTTATGAGAAGTACAAATAACAGTCTTCACATTTTAAAGAACTCAAAGCAGAAAAATTCATGTTTAGATGTTCAAAAACAGATTTTTCTTTGCCTCTTCAGAGCTTTACTGAAAACACTCATTAACGAACATCCATGGAAAAGATGAATTTATCACAGAGGGTACTGAACTTTGACCCCAATGATAAAAATACACTCAAATTTACTAGACTTGTAGATCTTTCCCAGTGCCAGGAGAAACCACGTCATCAAGGGTTTTTCAGGACACTCAACGATGTTCTGAATTGCTTGTCAGAAACCAGACGCACGGTCATGCACACACTTAAAACGCCTCTGCAGGTCGGGTGATTGGTTCCTTCACAGCGACAGGTGTGGCTTTATAAAACACTGTCCCTGGAGGCCACCATGTCCACAAGGTGCGGACATGGCTAAGAGAGCCCACACTCATGCCAGTTTACACGTGGTGATGGACAGCAGGGGCTGCAGCTGGGCTATTTTTGATCCTGTCATGCGACAAGGGTTTCCAGTGGGTAAAATGTCTTTATAAGGCCAAAGTAAAACATCTATCAGCTGCAAAGGCCAGCCAGTATGAAGCTCACTGATATGGAAACATTAACCCCTGGACTCCCAAAGTTTTAAAGACAACATAACATGATGGTTGCTAGGTCTGTATCTTCAAGTAAAGGTGTTAACTGAAAATAACTTTAGCCTACAGTGTCTGTGTGCATAGGTATGAAGAATGCAATAAAAGATAAGCAGGGTTTCTTACAGTACTCTCCTCTCTACATTTATTTTACATCAACAGTTTTTATTTGATAATGTGCTTATGAGAGCACAAAGTTCCTTGGAATGTCAGAATCCTACATGAAGTCTGGCTAGGAAGATGTCTGGAAGACAAATGAAACCCTGGAGTCCTTTAAGACTCAGAGAAAGGCGAATCCAGAAGACAATGGAAAGTCTAAAATATCTGAGTTCAGGAAGGAAGGCAAAAATGGACTAAAACATAAGGTAAGACTTCTGAAAAAAAATCCCCATATTACGAGTTCTTGTCATAGTCTAGGGAACCCAGTAGGGGAATTAGAGAATCTCCCTCCTACCAAATATCTATCAATATACTTTCCCTCAATTAATCACAGAATGTACAAACCTACCAGTTACAAAAGCATAAGAACACAGCAGAATACTTTGAAAGAAATTTTACTATTGTTTTCCTTTCCTTCCTATCCCTCTGTGACTTTTGACATCCCAACTGGTTTCCTTTTCCAGTCTATCACAAAACTACAAAGTCTTCACCTCATTTGCTTGCTCTAGTAATCTATGGCCCCTGACATCATTCCTAAGCACAAATTTCTTAAACTTTGGTATGCTAGACCTTTAATAATTCTGGCTACAAACTACTTCCCTCAGGATTACTTTCCACCTTCCCCTTAACCCAAATCAGCTGGGCTCCTAATGTTTCCACGTCACACCACACATTCCTAGGTCCTCACCTTTGTTCATGCCATCCTTTTGTCTGCAGTGCCAATCCTCACTCCATCTCTACCGGTTGAAAACCAAATCCAATCTGCCCTAGTTCCTGCACTCTGTGCAGAGTGTTCAGGAACTCGCTTCAACCTTTTAAAACCTTTTAACCTCATATTCTTCTATATGTGAAATGAACCCAATATTTTCAACTTGAATTGCTATGCATAAAATAAGATTATGCAAAGAGCCTACAATGATGAAGATAGCAAAGTACTCTATGCAAGAGTTCCTCATCATCCACCACCCTTTGAAGTCTAGGTCAACTACTACCTCCTTTCTGGATCCCACCAACCTAATGTCTCTCTCCCTTATCTGAAGAAGCAGGAACAGCCATTCTGGGTGCTTGCAAATTTTCCTATTAGATTACAAGAGAGAATAAAGTTGGGTCTTATTGGTTACAACTTGATACAGAAGAAAGAACATGGCTTTTGAAAGGTCGGGGAAACCTAGCATCAGACTCTATCACTTGCTAGCCTTGGCAAGTTAATTCACCTCTCTTCATCTCAGTTTTATCACCCAATGGGGAAGGACATTAACAGTGCCTTCATCACATAATTAGTGTGAGAATTAAACTATATAATTTATTTAAATCCCTTATCAGTTCTAGGCAAGTAGCAGATGTTCAGTTAATGTTCGTTATTGTTCCTCCTGCCCCTTTTAGTGGACACTATAATATCCAGTATGGTGTTAACACAACTAGCTTAAAATGTAATACTTAAAGGTATTTGAATAAATGTTTAAGTATATTTCAGCCTGGCTAAACTAGGCTAGACATTTCTACTCACAGATCTGTATTCTCTCTTCTCCAAGGTTTCAATAAGAAAATGCTCCTTTCGAACATAAAATATTTATAATATTTTGTTGAGAAAATTTACAAGTTTCTATACATGTACCCACTGTGTTACATCATAAATTCTTTAGGCCAAGGTTTTCTCTTTAAAGGCCCAGAGGAATTTGGGAACAATTTAAGGATTACAATTAGGAAGAAATAGTTCAGTTACTAAACTTCAAATAAGTCAAATCAAATAAAAAATTCTCAAGCATCTTTCCAGGCCTAAAGTAAGAACGTGTAGCATTCAAATAGAATTTAGGATGACCAGGTGCGATTTGTTAGGTACAGACTCTGGGACTCAGAGCAGTGCTGAGAACCCCTTAAAAAAGAAAGAGGCGGCTGGCTTGGTTCATCTGGAATGCTATCTATTTTTAATAATAATCTGAAGTTCAAACAATTTATGCAAACAGTAATCATCACCATCCTTTATAAAGACAGCTAATATTAAAAGAGATGAAAAGCAAAAGGTTACTATCCAAACCTGCTTGATCTAAAACTTCCAGGTAATACAATGTACTATGGTTGCTCCTAGGTTCTCCTCATGCTGCTTTCTTAAGGGACTATAAGGACTCTGACAACCAGTCTAGATTTCCATGTCTAGTTCTCAAGACATAGACATTCTTTATGCTGAGCCTTTTCTCTGTGCCTTTGCTTATCCTCACCTCATCCTGTACCCTCGAGACAGGTCCATTTTTCCTTTTACCTGTCTATGATATAGCCATTGGTTCAAGTCTAGTTCAAGTCTGCACAAAGCCTAGTTCAAACTCTTCCAATCACCCATTTTCTTGCTATTCTGAATTCCTTTTGTACTGAAAACAATACCAAGTATCTTAGCAACCAAGTTCCCGATTGGTTTGTTTTAGTTCTCAAACTAAAGTGCAATGTCCTTATTTTATATCACCCCTAGCACAGAGAAAAATAAACACATACTAATACCTGTTGATAGATTCAGTTGTATTAACTGTTTCAAGATTATTAGTGTGAGATCATGACTAAGTTCACCATCACTTCCTAAGATGAACGTTTTCCTTTCCAATCCCTCCTTCAACATAGTCTAGACTAATAAAGGAGGGGCCCTCATTCAATAAACCCACTAATGATTGTCAGTATCCAGGATGGTTTGGATGGGGCATTGATAAATAACTATGAATAGGAAGGTTCTTTTTAATGATATTGGACAGAAGACTCTATCACTGTTTTAAAAAAAGTAGCCGTTGCCAGTAAGGGTGAAGTATTGATATGTTAAAGGGAGGGTTCTAAGAAGGTATTCATGAAAGATATAAATTGACTCTTCAAAAAAATCATTACTTTTTAAGGGTGTCTATTCTTAAAGACACATAAGGTAGATATCTATCTGAGCAGAATCTAACCTTCCATGCTACATACACTTAGAGATGTTTAGATGTTAAGGCTAAGGTGTTGCTGAGGATAAAGCACTTCTTGAACAAGTTAAAATATCTGAAAAGAAGCTTAAATCTCTGACATTAGAGTTATAGCAATATTGATCATGTAGAGTACAGCCAAACAGACTCTAAGTGTTCAGGATAAATTTAGATATTAGGGGATCTCCCACCCTTATCATGTCTGAATGTAAAGAAAAGAAGAGAGCGCAAGTGAGGAAAGCTGATGATCACAAATATGACCAGAGGTAACACAAATATGCGCAGGCTGTTCATAACCCGAGTTAAGGCTGAAAGGTGAAAGTTAGTGCTACTCTACTGAAAAATTTGACCAGTGTTGACAAATCTGATGAGAGTTGTTGAACCTTTAATTAGAAGGCCTAAAAGTGGATTCACATTGCAAAAGAAAGAGCCCCATTCCCAGAAAACTCCCCAGTGAAACAGAAACTTAGGACATGCAAGCAATGTATCTGTATTCTTACAGAGGGAAATCACACGATTTAGCACTCACTACAAAGTATGGTTAAGTGGAAGTTACAGGCTACAGCTTAAAAGCAAGAAAAAAAAAGAGGCCCTTTGCTTTCCATGGCAAAGTCAAAAGTCAACACTCCTCAACACCACCACCAAAACCAAAACACAAAGAGCCCCTTCCCCAAGGAAAAGAAAACACTTTCACTACAGCTCTTTTCAATTAAGTAAAAAGCACACAGTTTAGCTATCAACACCACTTCATTACTGTAATAAATAAAATAAAGCACACGGAGGTCTATTGACTATTGTGAAAAGTAAAACAACAACACCAACATCCATGCATCGTTAATCACCATCTGAGCTTGTGTGTCTGAGTCTACTGGGTACAGTTTAATTCCAAACAGAACTATTCCACCTCTTATCATGGTATCCTTCTGATCAGTTAGCTTAACTGTATACGAGCCCTGTCAGGTTAGAAAGAGATAAATACAATTGAGTCAAGTTGAACAGTAGTAATGGTGCTGGGGCACAACGGTCTCATACACAAGTCATACCTGGTATTTTTGTTTTGTTTTGTTAATCATAAGCTCAAAATTTGTCTGGTTTGGAGGCTGCATATGTGGTCAGATAACTTGACTCATCTAAAAATATTTATGTTATCAGCATTACGAATACACAAACATATATAAACATGGAGAACCAGGAACATTCTGTGGCATGATGGTCTTGTCTGTATATAAGAAGCAGGTTAACAAATGATAGCAGTTGAAAGTTAGGAGGGCTGGACTAATGGACTTACCCAAAAGGTCTTTGTATAAGGGCTGGATGAAGTTGCTGAACACCAAAGGCAAAACCTAATAACAAAACATACCACATTCTCTATTTGTGCATGGTTAGACATTTACAACTCCTACATATAAAGAGCAATCACAACTTTCATTCATCTTAGAAAAGATAACCATCCTTCTAATACTTTAGAGAAAATATTAGATATATATATTTAAAAGCCAGTTTTCTTAATGCTATTGTTGATTTAAATAAAAATTGTAATATAAGTGGAAACTAAAAAATTATCTACTGAGTTTAGTTGACATAGGATAAGACCTTAGAAAATTAGTCTTGGGAAAAATTCTCATGGAATAAAAGCCACAATAGGACTTGATAATGAACTTACATGTAGCAAATATCCCTATGATTCTGAATAATGATCTATACAAATTCTTTGTAATTTGGAGCGCTCTAGAATGCTTTTGAACAATGCTTTGGAAGATTCTGGTTTTTAGAGATTATAGTATAAAAATTCACCAAAACAAACTGTTCCTTCTTCTCTGGATAGTATATATACTCAATGTATTAGACAAATACATGTTTTTTACTGTTCATAGGTATTTGCTCATGCACCCACTTTCTTGACAACCTAGTTTCCTAGTAAATCTGTTTGGATGGAAAGCTCAATCTCCAAAATTTCAAGAAAAGATCACATCTGTTCAACAGTCAACTCTCAATTATCTGTGCTAATGCAAAGGACAGTGTTATAAATGCAAAGGGCCATGTTTTCACATAGACAAAACCGTGCTCCCTCTTGGCGATTAATAGCTATGTGACTTTGGAGTAAATCATTTCTCATCTCTATCAGTTTCTCAGTTTTTTCATCTGTAATATGAGGGTACTGGAGTATGAAATCTATTTTAATTACTAATATTCTGTGACTTTATGTTAAACATTATCATCCAGACACCTCCACCCTCACCCCTATGCTTTTCTTGGGTCAGTGTTCAAGTCTGAGTGTCTGCTTTGAGCCCAGGGCAACTGGTGGTAGAAGGAGAGAGAACACTGGGTTAGGAAGTATAACCAGCTAGAACTGACAAATTTGGCCCATATAATCCACATCTGAGTTATCTACAAGTGTCTAAAAACTCAAAGATGGAGAGTGGACTATGACTACCCAACACAGGTGAGTCGCGTCCAAGTCTGGGTGTGTAAGACTCCAAGAACTATGTTTGTATACAGGTATATTTCAAGTCCTAAAAGGAGTGGACACAACTCTCCTTTATTTATCTTTAATGCCTTGGTAGAACCACCAGCCATGTTTTAACTTTACTAAATACATCTACCAATGTTCTAAGTTGAGGATTCACTCTATGCAAGCAGTGGGGCATCTCTAGAGCAGAAGGAGAGGTAGGTACAAAGGGACCCTAGTTTCTCACCTGGTTGCATGATCCTTGGTTTTGCTCCCAAATATGCCAGGTTCACATTGGCCTTCCTGCCATCAATTATAGGGTTGGGATCCTTGCAGGCTCTTTCTGCAGCAGCCCGGTCAGCCATGGTGACCTTAGCAACATACACACACAGACATACATACAAAGCTCTAAATCAACCCTTGAAGGAAACCAGAATCGCACTGGAAATATCATTTATGATAAAACTAAATGGGGGGGAGGGGGAGGATGTCCTTAAACTTTTTCTTCCTTTTCTTCCTAGAACTTACTCCTTGATATCCCATCCAAAAAGAAAAGGGAAGAAATCAGAAAGGAAGAAATACCACCTGAACCCCCCCCCGCCCCCCCCCCCCACACGCTCCAAAGTCTTAAGGGTGTTGGCAGGGCCTAGCAAAAAATTGGAAGCCTGAATTCTGTCTTAGAATTCCTCTAGGTCCTCTTCACCCCGCCTCCGAAGCCCCCAGGTTTCCACGGGACCCGAGGCACTGTTTTCTTTAAAAAAAGAAGTCCAGCCTCACATCCGCCTGCGCTCCCCACCAGCCACCCGCAAACGCTCCCCAACGACAATAGCTATTGTCCTACTCCGGAGCTCCCTGCTCTGGGGCAGCTCAATCTGCACGCTGCCATCCCCAGAAAGCTTAATATGCTCTATTTCAGTTCTGCAAAGAGCCATAGGATCATATGTAAAAACAAAACAAAACCCATCTTTGCAGTTACAAGAAAAAGGGTGGGGGCTGGAGGAAGAAGAGCCCCAGGTCTCCCGGGGTGTCGCCTCCGGGCCCCAGCCTGAACGCCAGGAGACACACACGCATTTTTGCCAAAGCAACAGCGCGCTTCCCGACCGGCCTCCAGCCCCGGAGCCCCGTACCGAGAGGATGCCGGCCCTCCCGACTCTCCCCAATCCCCCCAATCCCCCCAATCCCCAATCCCCACTCCCCAATCCAGCAGTGATTACAGTTTCCTCCTACCCCTCGGGCCCCGCCACCCCCGGGCACCAAGACGCGCCCCATCTCCTCGGAAACCCCGCAGCCAGGACCAGCTCCCCGTCCACAGCTCCGCTGGACCGAGGGGACAGCGCCACTCACGCCCGAGGGGTGATCGCACGGTGTCGCCGAGCCCCCCCGACAACCACGATCACCCCTGAGCTGAGCGCCGCTCGGTTCCTCCCCCCCCCGCCCGCCCGCCGAGCGGGCCCCGGCGTCCCCGCGGGGCTCCCGGCCGACTCCCGCCTCTCCTCCCCGCGTCCGCGCCACTTACAAATCCGTAGCCCCGCGACTTGCCCGTCTGCCGGTCGGTGATGACCACCGCCTCCTCGATCTCGCCGAAAACCTCGAAGTACTTGCGCAGGCTGGCGTCGGTGGTGTGGTAGGGCAGCCCCCCGACGAAGATCTTGGTGTACGTCGTGTCCTTCTGGGTCGTGTGCATCTTCGCGCCCGCCCCGCGGCCCGGGCTCCGGCTGCGGCTGCGGCTGCGGCTGCGGCTGCGCCTCCTCCGCCGGCTCCGCGGCTCCTGCTCCCGCTCGCGGCCGCCGGGGGCCGGGGGCGCGGCCGGGGGCGCGGGCCGCGGCGCAGCGGGGGCGGGCGGCCGGGGGCGGCCGAGGGCGCCGGGCGCGCGGCTGCCGGAGTCGCCAGCAGCCCCGGGGACTGGGCTCGCCGCTCTCCTCCCGCCCCCCCTGCCGGTCACGGTACAAATTCTCCGGATCGTCTGGGTGCGGATCCGGTTCCGTAGAACGTGCCAGCGGCGGTGTCCACTCCCCCGGCGGCGGCGGCGGCGGCGGCGGCGGCGGCGGGGAGGCCACAAATGAAAAGAGGGGGTGGTCCTCCAGCCGGGAACGGGGTGCCTTTAGAGGTAGATGTTTTTTCCTGGCGCAACGATTAGGTGTCCCGGGCGGGCCGTGGGGAGGGTCGGCGGGCAGAGCGCGGCCGGGGGCGGAGGAGGGTGGGCGCGGCGGGAGGGCCGGGGCGCGGGCGGCTCCGCTCGGCTGCGGGAGACGCTCCGTCCCTGCCGCCTCGGCAGCTGGAAGACAAGTGGCGAGGACGGCGCTGCCCGCTGCGCTCCCTCCCCCGCGGGCGGGCCGGGGGTCGGCGCCCGGCTGGGGAGGGGGCGGGCCGGACGCCTGCGATTGGCCGCGGCCGCACCTGGGGCGCCCGGCGCCGCCGCCCCCCAGCTGTTGGGAACAGCTGCTTCTCTCCCGGCGCGGATCGGCGCGGCGCTGGGCCGCCGGGCTGGGTCTCTGGAGCCCGAGCCGGGGGAGGGCTGGGGAGGGCTGGATAGAGGCGGCCTTGCTCGCGGGGTGTCCTGCTTTTAACCCGTCCAAGTCCTGGGCACCCCTGGCGGCCTCTGCCCGGCACCCAGGGCGCAGGGACTGCGCCCGCGAAGGGAGCTGCGTTGCTTTTCAAAAACGAAAACGCGAGCTCTTTGCGCCTCGTCGGCCTCGTTGACAGAGCCGGCGACCTGGACAGCCTACCCTGGGGGCCCGAGGCCTGGGGCGGTTCGCTGGGAGGCAGTGCCCTCCCTGGCGCGGAGGGCCATGCAAGGCGGGCAACCTTACCCGAGTTGGGTTACCTGCGGTCTGGAGAGTGAGAAGGAGGGCCCCCAACCTTCCTTGACCCCAAAGAGCTGGTGCTGGGGACAACTAGCGAGACAAGGCCAGAAAGGGAAAAAAAAAAAAAAAGGCTAAGCTTAGGTGCTAGGGAGAAAACCATTAGCTTTAATTGCTCAAGGCCTAGCCAAGCTGAGTAACTGTAGACACCTAAGTTTATCAGGTGCCACCTTCTATTTCAGAGGATCATACATTAGTACCCCGAAATGACAAATTTGTGTTCCCTCCCTAACTCTTGGGGAAGATTGGTACAGCTTTCTCATCATATTGTCTATCCTTCCTCTCCCACTCAGCAAAGAATTACTGTATTTCCTTTTATTTGAATTGCTAGAATATTTAGGGACTTTAGTTCAATTTTTTTTTTTTTTAATCAGGATGTAATTGTAAAAGGTGCAATCGTTTGAAATCGACTTGTTACATAACCACTGGTTTCTACCAGCAGACCTTTAAAGCATTCGTAGAAAAGACACTATTTAGTGATATATATAATTTTTATATCAGCTTTTTGCAATTTATTTTTATTGAGGGCACATTCAATTAGGCCATAAAAATCATTGTCATATTGAAGTTTGGACAGATATTTAGTGAGAGCAGAATGTTTCACCCACCACTGATGGCATACAGGCTTTAAGTAGTTTCCATCATGAGTATCCACTGAAATCCATGCATTAATTGACCCAGGCTACACCACTTATTCTCTTTAAAGCAGTTTAGTATGTTAACTTATCAGAGAGGCGCAAACTTCTATTTCTCTTCCCAGGGCACCTCTGCAGTCAGCCCAAGAGGATGAGATATATTGCAAAAGCTAATGGGAATGTAAATATTCTTATACAAAATTTTGCTTTTCATCTTGCTGACTTTGGCGTGAAGTTGGCCTTTTGAGGTATCATCAGGGTTTTTTTTTGTTTTTTGTTTTTAAGTTTGAACTCTCAGTAGAAGAGATGGAGAAATAAGAAAACTAAAGCTTTTTTTTTTTTTTGAAAATGTTTTTTTTGTTTCCTAATTGAAGAAAAATAAAGCATATACGTATAAGAGCCAGCAAGTGAAATTGTAAACAGTCTCTCTTCATTGCTTAACTGAAGTGCAGGTTTAAAGGGAACTGTGTGTACCCGTATGATGAAAAATAATTTTTAAAAATTAGAAAAACAAGGCCCTGAAACAGAGGAGGCATGTATTTTTAAATATTAACAGCCATCTTGCAATGTTACTTAAGATTCACTGTACTTAGATGAGGCGCAGGCCAAAACTCTTTTGTGAGGGGAAGCTAGGTATGCATAGAGAAGCCTTAAAGAGAAGAGTGACTGTGGCTGTTTCACCTCTCTTTCTGCCTGGATGGGGAGCCCACCTGGGAGGGGACTGTGATAACATCAAGGGAGGAAGGTGTCTGGGAGTGCAGCCAGCAGCTTGGATGTTCACGAGGTACAGTGGTGAGATCTACAAGGAAATTCTGATCCCAGGTTGAAATCCCTGTGTCTAAAACTCGGCTTCTGGAAATTAGATGCTTCCCTGCCATAGTCCCAGAGAAAATGCAGCCACACTCCCCCTGCCCCAGGTAACCCTGACTGGTGGGCGTTTATTCTTTCAATGGAAAAGTCAAAATGTGATAGCTTTCTAGAAACTTTGTTCATTTTGTATAAAATGGTGCCCAGATACCCCTGATTTTGGATTGCAGAGATAATGCAAGCATTGCTAATTATCTGGTGATGTGTGGTTCTTTGAAAACATAAGTTAATAGGAATAGAGGTTCCTTATTTTCAAAGTCATTTTGAATCCTTCCTTCCTTCCTTCCTTCCTTCCTTCCTTCCTTCCTTCCTTCCTTCCTTCCTTCCTTCCTTCCTTCCTTCCTTCCTTCTTTCCTTCCTTCCTTTCATATTTATTGGAGGTGACTAGTTATTAAATTCTATAGGTTTCAGGTATACAGTTCTACAATTTATCATCTGTGTATTTTATTGTGTGTTTCCCATCCCAAGTCAAGTCTCCTTCCAAACCAATTTAAATAGAAGCCATAATTCATACCCAGTTCAGCTAGATAAACCATCCAGCGCCCCCCGCAGGCAGGCACCTGTTAGGGCTAGGCACAAAGGTGGTTACAGTCACAATGGCCACATCCATTCTGGGAGGATTTATGAACTTGAGCCAACAGACCATGTAGCCTTAGAGCCATAAAATCTTTCTGAATTCAAAGTTTCAAGGTTATTAAGTACCAAATATTTCTGTACAATTACCCATTACAAAGTCAAAGTCAGGTTGGAAAAACAATCCTTGGGTAATCCTTTTGCTTTTTCAGCTGCTTTTGGCAGAGAAGAGCACTTGTATGTTAACAAACCTTGTGCAATATGATGTGCACTTCTTTGGAAAGAAAGAGCCATAAAATACTTTAAAAGTTATAAATAGGTCTTAAGCTTGTCATACCCAAATTAGTACACAGGGATGGCTCTGAATCCGTGGTTCTTATTCCATGGCAAGATCAATATTATTTCATTAGTTACAATAAATTTTTGTCCACTTTGCTCAAAATCATAATCTGACTACTAAGGGCCAGAACCAAATTTAGAGTCTCACACTCATTTATCTATTTTCTTGCTTTCTCTTAAATGGAAATCAACTCCAGGCCCAAGGTGTATGAAGAATTTTTGAGAAAAGAGAGTAACATTTCATGAAATTAGAGAAGCATTACTATTGCTCATGGAGGTGCCTGCTCCAGAGCCAATCTGATTAGCACAGCAAGTCTCCTGCAGGCAGGGATGATCTCTTAGATGTCACCGCATCCTCTTCAGGTCAGTTAGATCCTCTGCAGAACGCTACATACATAAACACTGAAGAAATATTTACTGAAGAGATTTGATATCTTAAAGATATCTACCTATAAACTTGATGTTTGGGAAAAAATGCTTTCTTGATTAGAACCAACCATTTGAAGAGTATTTAGGCCAGACACTAACACACACTATATATATATATATATATATATATATATATATATATATATATATATATTTGTTATCAAAATACACACATATATATATATTTGTTATCAAAATACACAAAGTATATATATCTATCTATATATCTATATCTATATCTATATCTATATCTATATCTATATCTATATCTATATCTATATCTATATCTATATCTATATCTATATATTGATGTACCAAAAAACGTACAAGAAGAAAATCTTTTTTGAAGTCTTTTATTTTTATTGTTTGGAAACATTTGCCTTTTTTTTGTTGTTGTTTAAGAGTATATGAACATTCTGAGTGTAGCCAACAGGTTTCTGTCCTTTTGAGTAGTCTCATGATCCACTGTATTTTTGTTTCTCTGGGTGGGTTGGTCATTTTCTCTTAGTAACAGATAACAAATACATGGAATAGGTTATGCTGCTATTTTAGTGCGCAGAAGAATTGGCAGTCAGAAGCCTCATCAGTTCAGCTCAGATCCACCTTTGGGAGAATTCTATTCATGCTTCATTAAATCACATCTGAGCTGCTAAGCAAAATGAAATGGAAATTTGTAGCTGCTATTCAATCATTAAAGTCATAATTTCTCTTTTACATCAAACATCCAGAAAATATCAGAATAGAGTTTCCTGGAGAATGAGGGAAGGGCAAAAATGAAAGTAAGGGGGAGGGGGACAAAAAGAGTTTCCAGCCAACTTCATCCTACCAACAGTTTCACTCTGCCTGTGTAGAAGTAGCTGTCAATGTACACACACTTTAAATTCTGTTCTATAAATTTGAAAGGCAAGGAAGAAAATGCAAATGTTTTAAACCCACCATGTATTTCTTTACATTTTAAATCCAGGGTGTACTTTAGTTTT